CCAACACCACAGATGGGAGAAGAGGAACCGTTGGCAAGGGTAACAGTTTGAGATGTGGAAGTTTCAGAGAGGGAAGAGAACACACCTAGAGTCCTGGTCATGTGATCAGAGGCTCCAGAATCAATAATCCAAGGAGAGGGTTTGGATGCCAAACAAGATATACCTGAGTGGGCAAGGGTGGTTGTAGTATGCTCTGAAGTAGCTTGGAGGAACCTCTCATACTCATCACGCGGTACACTCACCATCTCCTTCCCGGAAACAAATGTAGATGTGGAAGGTGTTAGATCTGCTTGTTGATTACCACTGACATCAACCCCACCAGCTACTGCATGATTAGCCCATGTAGAAGGAGGGCCATGGAGATCATAACAGAAATTCACCGAATGTTCGTCCCTGCCACAATGGGTACACTTCCTTGTAGAGTTACTTTTTCCTTTACCACGGCCTCACCCTAAGTTACGACCACCACCACGACCAAATATGGAACCACCACGACCTCCTCGAGAGGCATGCCCTCCCCCTCTAGTACCACATTCACCTCCTCTGGCTATCACAAATGCTGATCTGTTAGACTGTGTGGGATTCTCTGTAGGTCCCAAAGAAATCCTATGAAGCCGTGCAAAAACTTCCTCAAGTGTAGGAAGAGTAGAGCCTCCCAATATTTGAGCCCTATCTAGTTGTTCCCTCTGTTGTTGTTGAACCTTAACATCTAGAGTGAGAGGATGAAAGACATTGAGTTCATTTCTAAGGTTCTTCATATTGGCATAGTACTCTTCTAGGGTTTTATTCCCTTGTTGCAGATCGAAATACTCCTGATAGAGCTGATATACCCTTGTAGTATTATCCTGCCCAAAATAAAGCTTCTTGGCATGTTCCCATATGCCCTTAGTTGTATCTAAGAACATAAAGTTGACACTTATTTTGGGTTCCATACTATTCCATAACCATGTCATGATTTGGGCATTTTCCTGTTCCCAGTCATCAAACCCTGGAGAGTCAGCTGATGGTTTATCTTCCTTCACGTGTTTCACTTCCCTCTTTGCCTTGAAGAAAACGTCCACTGACTTGGCCCATGGCACATAATTCTCACCATTATGTTTAATGGAGGTCATCTGCACACCCAAATAGTCGGAGGGGATCATCACACCCGGTTTCTGATCACTAGAACCATCTCCCATTGCTGCCATTATGTCCCCCACTGCTATCTCTAATGCTGAACTCTCAGTCACCAACCAAATACTTCTGTCAAGGCAACACTACAACACACTGATAACAATCTCACAACTAGTCACAATCAATAACTTGATGTAGACTAAAATTAAGGTTAAGAACTGGATGTTTTGACCAGATTCGGCTACCATCCAGATTAGAACATTGATGAAAGCTACTAGGCTGAAGTATTCAACCACTTCTTTCAGCACAAATTTTTTTTTCTGTTCCCACCACTACTGACATCCCAGAAATATTAGGCACCATTACAACAACACAACACTCAAGCAACCACACACAAACCCTCTTGAAATTGTTTAGTAGAGGGTAAACACCACAAGCACCACCACACGACTAGGGCTGTCACACATGCTGACAGCAGTATTAGGCTGATATCCTAGGGTTGCCGCACCTTCCTAATACTTGTAATAGGGATTGCGGCAGTCCTAAAACAAAAAATAAATAACAGATGCCGCAGCTATCAGATTGTGTACCTCAGATTCGCAGCCCAGAGAAGAAAAAAAAAGGAGAGAGAACTTGAAGTCGCAGGATAGAAATCTTGAAGCCGCAGCCTTCTTCTCCTTCGTTTATGGCTCTGATACCATGTTTTTGACAGCTGTGTTTAAGTAGTTCGAACCAGTAGAGAGTAAGGGAGAAAGAAGAAGAAGAAGGAAGAAGAACAGTCGAATCTGATAGCCTAAACCCTATCAGTTGACCCTAATATGAATTAGCCTCTAATTAGTTGTACAAAGACTAAACTGCCCCCCACTAAAGTATGGGACAGGAAGTCTCTATTAAAACTGCCACATAAGCACATAACTTAACAGAAATAAAATGACTAATCTACCTTTATTCGGCTAGCTCTAACACTGTGCATCCTGAAGATGCTGCATGGGAGGATTTCTCTAAAGTACAGCAGCAGTACCCTCATTTCAACCTTGAGGACTAGGTGCCTCTTAAAGGGGATGGGATTGATAAAGGCCCAAGGCCCAACACTGCAGGCAGATACCCAGCACTGAGCCCCACCCAACCATTCAGTTCACAACAGTGTTGACTCCAGATTGGTCCAACCCAGGGAACTGCCTATCAGATATATACCTGGAGGCAACGTCACCGAGGTTGTTAGACACCAGTATGCAGGGAAAAAGGCTATATATAGCCTTATCCAGATCTGATCAAAGAATGAATTGGAGAATACTCCCTTCTTCCCTTCCCTTCTGTCTCTTCCTTTCTGAGTTAATTCTCTGTAAGAGGTTTGAGCACCCTCCGAGCTGCTCAGATTGGATACAGTTGTAATCTGATAAGACCAGAGCTTATCAAACTAAGTATCAGTACAAGACATAACATGCAACTTTGGTTAGTTAGTTTCCCATGTGCTTATTTTACCGAATATAACCATTCTGACATTGCCAAGACATTGTAACAACCAAAACTGGAGTAATTGATAAACTGTCATACACCAACTAAACTAGACTTGAATAGGATTAAGAAAATTGATGATAAATTCAGCAGGTACTAACCAGCTGCTTGGAATCATCTTTCCAATCACCAACACTAGCAGACTTCCTCAGAGGTGATCCCTGAAAACCAAAAGACTGACATGAAAACAAGAAAAGCTGCTACAGTCTTGAAAAATGTTGACACAGAATGATTATTCACAAGTGAAGTCCTTGAAACTGTACTTAATAGAATATCCTACATGTATGTTTTAGTTTAGTAAGAATTATTTAATTTAGGAAAAACATATTAAAAGAATTATAGGTACATTTATGAGGTCCAGGTTTTCCGATGTTACTGAGAAGCGGCCTTTTATTTGCACCACATTGGTCTTCTTCTCCTCCAAAGAATCTCTGAATCCTATAAGAGGAAAGAGGATAAGTAACAGAAGTTTTCTAAAGTTTACGTACTGGTTCTTCTTAAGTAACATTTTTCTTTTTGATAATAAAATATTAGCAAGAAAAGCCATACTATCCTGAAGAACTGAGCTTCATGTTTAGCAAGGTTAAGCAACACGGAAAAAAAAATATTAGTTTTTCTTATGTCAATCTGAACTCTAATACCTCCTGATGATCTTATGGGAGCTGATAAACTGTTTGCAGAAGCTCGATTTGGAAGCATTAATGGACCACTAAAGCTGGGTGCTCTCCGTATGTCATGCTTACCCTTCTCATTTGCTGCTTGACTTTCAACCTCGCACCTAATAATAACAGGTCCACAACTCTCAGATTTGAAGCATATATGGTATCAATGCTATAATAACACATACTCAAAACAAAATAGCCTCCCATAATGTACTACAAATAATTGCAAAAATAAAGAGAAAAAATCATATCGACTATTGAGAAAAAAAATCAAAACTTCCTCTTACCATATTTGCAAACAAACTTAAGAAAATTCAGAGGGATATATTTGGAAAGGATGGAAGGTGAATATTTTCTTTCTTGGAGAGAGAGAAAAGAGAGAAAAGAGAGAGAGAGGAGAGGAGAGGAGAGAGGAGAGAAGAAGAGGGAGGGAAAATAGTTTGGAGTCAAAAAGTGTTGCTGGCGGCGCCACTTCTTATTTATAATGATACAACATAATAATAAATGGGAGATTACATTTATACCCCTGGTGGCACACCCTAATAATAAACTAATTAAAAGAAGAAAAGAACAAGCTGACAACATCCTAGGCTGACAGCACACTAACAGCAAAGATAAAATAATAACACTAACAACACTCCCCCTCAAGTTGGGCTGAATATGTCTATCATGCCCAACTTGTCACACAACTCATTGTGCCGTGAGTATAGAAGCCCCTCTGTCTCCTTGGAGTTGACATAAGGAGTACAAATTTCTCCCTTTTCCAATTTTTCCCTTATGAAGTGTTTGTCCAATCCAATGTGCTTGGTCCTCTTGTGCAGGACAGGATTCCTGACAATGCTTATGCCTGCCTTGTTGTCACAGTAAAGAGACATAGGATTATGAGCAGTTACTCCAAGCTCCCCTAGAAATATTTTAGCCAAAGTACTTCAACCACCCCATGTTCATAGCCCTATACTCCGCTTCAGCTCTTGACCTTGCTACCACACTTTGTTTTTTGCTTCTCCATGTCACTAGATTTCCTCCCACAAATGTGCAATACCCACTTGTGGACTTTCTTTCATCCACAGCACCTGCCCAATCAGCATTCGCATAGACTTCCACCTTCAAATGATTATGTTTACTAAATAGCAAACTTGTTCTTGGATACTTTTTCAAATACCTAAGAATCCTCTCTACTGCTTCCATGTGTGGTTTCTTAGGGGAATGCATGCATTGGATCAGAACCCCAACTGAATAAGCAATGTCTGGACGGGTCATGGGCAAATAAAGCAACCTTCCCACTAACCTTTGGAACTATTTCACATCTTGCAAAGGTTCACCATCACAGTCACCCAATTTATGATCGACATCCATAGGAGTATCTGCTAGCCTTGCACCTAACTTGCATGTGTCTTGTAACAGATCAAGGGTGTACTTCCTCTAAGAAATGAGCATGCCCCTTTTTGAGTGGGTAACTTCAATTCCAAGAAAGTACTTTAATGGACCCAAATCTTTCACCTCAAATTGAGATGCTAGGAACTATTTCAACTTTTGTATTTTTGAGCTCCAATTTCTTGTAATGGTGATATCATCCACATATACTATCAACATAGCAATATGTTCTTGACATCTCTTCACAAAGAGAGTGTGATCAGACTAACATTGTTTGAATCCTACTTGCTGGACTGCCATATGAAACTTACTGAACCAAGCCCTAGGGGATTGTTTTAAACCATAAAGAGACTTTCTCAGCTTGCACACCTTATTTTCACTTCCCTTGGCATAAAATCCTGGGGGTTGAACCATGTACACCTCTTCCAGGTCACCATTTAAAAAGGCATTCTTTATGTCCAGTTGATGCAATTCCCAGTCAAGGTTAGCTGCCAATGATAGAAGAACTCGAATTGAGTTCATCTTAGCTATTGGAGCAAACGTTTCATTATAGTCAATGCAATAGACTTGAGTGTACCCTTTTGCTACTAATCTTGCTTTGTACCTTTCAACTGTCCCGTCCGCCTTATGTTTAACCGTAAACATCCACTTACACCCTGTTGAGAAAGTTTAGGCAAGGATGTTTTTAGTCTTCACCTCTTCTCTTTGTACTCTTTTTGTATTTGGGTGCCCAAGTAGGGACCTCTTTGTAATTTCTTGTTTCAAAATATAAAATGCTTTTTGAGGGTGTGAACAGTAACAAGAACACACCATTCGACGCATTCCTCTCTTCTCCTTTCTCTCTTTCTTTCTTCCTTTCTCATACAAACCCTAGATTTACAATACTAGTTGACAACTTGGTATCAAAGCAAGGTTAAGGCACTTGGGAGTACCTTTCTTGCTGACTCTCTTGCATGAGATGAACTGCTGACGTCAGACCGCTGCCAGATGACGTCAGCAGTCTGTACAGGTGTGTCGGCAGCAATACATGAATCATATATGGTTTGATTCACCCTGATTTTAGATCTTTGGTATGGCTCTTGTCTTCGTTCGAAGCTTCTATGATTTTTAATAGATTTTTCAAGCAGAAAATCGCAAAAAATCCAGATCTGATGTCGAGCCTTATACACTTTGTTTAATCAGTTTTCCTACTGCAAAACCTAAACCATTCAGGTCGTTTTTTACCTTGGGAGCAATGGAAAGTGGTCCCGTATTTTTCTAAGCCCTAGACAATTTTTGGGAGATTTTCTTCTCCCTCTATTTTGGCGCCAACTTAGTTTTTTGGCCCTTTTTTGCTTCTTAACCGTGTGGTGGTCTAGTTTCTTGGGTCCTTAGCTGTGGTTAAATATTTGGGGCACCTTTTGGTTGACGCGAAAGTGTTTTGATAGATTATGGAATCATCTAAGGATGTACAAATGGTTTCTAGTGTGTTCCCGGGAAGTGCGAACATTTCCAATGGTATGATAACCACTGTTAAACTTGATGGAACCATCTTTTTGGAGTGGTCCCAATCTGCTAAACTTACAATCACTGCGAGAGGTAAACCAGGATTCATCACAGAAAGGAGGTGAAGCCAAATCTGGAAGATCCAAAATATGCAAAGTGGGAACAGGATAACTCCCTTGTAATGTCATGGTTGATTTGCTCAATGCAACCTCATATTGCCCGAAACTACATGTTTCTTCCAATGGCCAATGATATTTGGGATAGAGTTGTTGCCACTTATTCCCAAGTTAACAATACTGCTAGAGTATACCAGCTTCAGAGGGAAGCTTGCAGTATGCGTCAGGGGGAGAGATCTGTGACTATGCATTTCTCTTCTCTACAGTCTATCTAGGAAGAAATGGATCAACTGAAGACTCTTGTATGGAAGGACCCTGAAGATGGTGAGCAATATCGAAAGTATATAGAGGAGAATAGTCTTTGATTTCTTGGTTGGCTTGAATCTAGAGTTTGATTTTACTAGGCAACATATTCTTAGTGCCAGCAATGTCACTCTTGCTTCCGCGTACTCCCTTGTACAAGGGGAAGAGAGTAGAAGGACAGCCATGATGCAACCTCCTATGATTGATCACTCTGCCTTTATGTCATCTCGATCCAAGAAAAATACTAGTAAGCACCATGTTATTGAGAAGGCTGAGGATGTGGTTTGTGATTATTGCAAGAAGCCAAGACATACTAAGGAAAAGTGTTGGAAGCCCAATCCTCACTTAAAACCAGAAAAGTACAAAACCGGGAGGAAGGGAAATGCTCACTTGGCTACAGTTGGTAATGATGTTCAACCTTCTAATGTTCATGACTCATGGACAAACTTAGGAATTTACTGTTGTAGTTGGAAAAGGGTGGTACATCCTCCTCATATGGTTATGGACTTAGTAATCCATCTAGTTCATATGCCAAGACAGGTACTACACTTGCTTGTTCCACATCTTTTAGTCCTTGGATTGTAGACTCCGAGGACAGTGCCCATATGACTGGTATGCCTTCACATTTTACCTCATATAAGTTAACCCCATGGAAGGGCAAGATTACTATTGCTGATGGATCTCAGACCCCTATTTCGGGTCAAAGGTGAAGTCAAACTCACTCATAATCTTTCTCTTGAATCGGTTCTTCATGTGCCCCAATTACATAAAAGTTTGTTGTCTGTTAGTTCTCTTACAAAATCCCATAATTGCTCAGTGACCTTTTTTCCTACCCATTGTATTTTTCAAAACCTAAGCACAAGGAAGATGATTGGAAGTGGGCATGAAGCTGATGGAGTACCTCTTTGATGGACCTTCAGAGCATGGATTATCAAGCCAGACTGAGTCTTGTTCAAATGAGAAAATGAGTCTTTTGAAATTATGGCATTGTCGTCTTGGCCATATGTCTTTCAATTCTGTAAAACTTTTGTTTCCAAACTTATTTGACTCGGTGTCAAAGTTGAACTTTGAATGTAAAGTTTGTCATCTATCAAAACAGTGTAGAACCACATATTTTGCAAGTAGTAAAAGAAGTAATGTTGCTTTTCATTTGATTCATACTGATGTTTGGGTCCCATATGCTATCCCTTGCATGGGTGGGTATAAATACTTCATCCTCTTCATTGATGACTACAGTCGGTATACATGGCTCTACTTAATGAAAAGTCGAGATGAAATTCCTATGGTGGTTCAAAACTTCATGAATATGGTAAAGACACAGTTTGAGAAAAGAGTTAAGATAATAAGATTTGACAATGCCAAGGATTACTTTAAACATCATTTGCATAGATTTCTTGAAGATCGGGGCATTATTCACTAGAGTTCATATAGTCATACTCCACAACAAAATGGGGTAGCTGAAAGGAAGAATAAGCATGTGGTTGAAGTTGCTCGAGGTTTACTGTTTCAGACTCATGTTCCCACCCATTTCTAGGGTGATGCTATTGAGACATCGGTGTATCTCATCAACAGACTTCCTTCAAGGACCCTTAATCTTCAGTCTCCTCATCAACTTCTCTTTCCTGATGAACGTCTTTTCAATCTCCCCCTTAAAATCTTTGGTTGTGTTTGTTTTGTTCATGATACGAGTCCTTCCCGGCATAAGTTTGATCCTAAGTAAGTTAAATGTGTCTTCCTTGGTTACTCTCCTATCTAGAAAGGCTATAGATGCTTTGATGCTCTCTCTGGCATGAGATATGTCTCCAAGCATGTTACCTTTTTGGAGTCTTCCTCCTTTT